CCCCCCCGCCCCCCTGCCCCTTCCGCAGGCATCTCTCCCTTGGCCCTGGCACCCCCGGACACAGCTCGGTTGTAGCAGTGGTGGCTCTCGGTGGGTGGGTAGGGGCTGCGAGTGACTGCGGTGCCCAGCCGGGCAGTTTGTAAAGCCCTCCGCCAACCCCAGTGACCTGGCTCCCTGTGTGGGCAAGCCACCCGGGCACAGCCAGGGGCTGGCGTCTGCGGGTCCCTGAGCGCCAGTACCAACGGAGGCCCGTGTACCGTGCGTGTACATACACGTAAGTTGTAAATCAGCCAACAGATTGTTAAGTAATATGTTCTATCTTCCTGTTTGACAAGGATACCTTTCAAATTGAATTTAGAATCCTCAGACTCCTTAGAGTTTTGCATTGGGATTTGGTGGCTGGGAGGGGGCAGGGGGAGCAGGGGCCCCTTCTTTCCCCCCCACGGACTCTGTACCACCGCACGAGGGTCGCACGCACACGCTGTGCTTGTCTCAGTCCTCACATCCCAGGCAAACAGCCACTCCTCACCCCTCCTCGGGCCTAGGGGGAATCTCCCCAGCAGTGTGGTCCCGATAGGAGGATGGGCTCATGCAGGCGTGGCCCACTTGGACAGGGGCCTGCAGGCATCCTGGGTACCCAGAGTGAGCTCTAAAGGGGCGGCAAAGGTCTGGGCGGGCACATCCCATTGGCCCTACAGACCTTTCTCCCTTTGGGGAGGGCTGAGGCGAGGGGAAGGCCAGAGGTGGGGGGGGGGACCTTAAAGAACATGGCCCAGAGCAGGGGCCTTCTTGTCTGGGTCTAAGGGAGATACATTCCTCGTTGGGGTCAAGCCCATCCTGGGGTCAGTGGAAGGCCTGTTCATTTGGTTCAGAGCTTGATTAGCAGAAATATACTCAGCGTCGGCCACAGGCAAGAGGCCAGGCTGGGGGCTTCCCGAGGATGGTTTCTCAGGAAAGGCAAAGTCTTCTCTGACTATTTCTCAGACTGTCTTCTCTTGGATGCTCCAGCCAATCTGCTCCTGGCAGCTTTTCTCTTTGGGTTTGTCTCTGTCCTGTCCCTACCCCAAGTTCAGTGCGCGGCAGTCCTGGGTGAGATCCGCAGAGCAGAGAGAAGGATACTGAGGAGGACGACACACCTGCGCACAGCTCTCCCTGCCAGCCGTCAGGGCTCAAGGGCAGCCAGGAGCAGTGTCACCTGCGAGAGGCTCCTGGACGTGTGTGTGCACAGGTGGCTGGCCTCTCATCGCAGTCACGCTTGCACCAGCAGGGGAGGGGCAGGGCCAGGGAAAGGCCAGGAAAGGGGGCATCATATCCCTGGGACCAGCAGCACCAGATCCCGTACCCAGTACCCAGAACCCAGTACTCGCACCTACCGAACAAATGAGACATGCATGGGAATGTCCTCACCTGACAGTTCTACTGAGGTGGCTGCAGTGATGACCCTCAGAGTCACAAAAACGAAGAGTAAAGTGGTCATAGTTCACCTGGAAGAGGGGAGGCAGAGCATTATTTGGATGGTGAAGGCAGGGTGAGGTCGAGGGGGGTCATGGGACATACGGCGCAAGGTGGTGACTCCACGCCCGAGGACCTGAAATCACATCTAGACAAGGGTGCTGCGTGCGGTTTGTGAGACATTTGCTCCAAGAATCCTTTCCTCACAAAACTTTCGCGGATTTCTCAGTTTAATTCCGGGGGTTAATTTTATATGTCAACTTGATTGGGCCACAGGGTGCCCAGACATTTGACCAAATGCTGTTCTGTGTGTCTGTGAGGGTGCTGGCGTTTCTGGCTGAGATGAGCATCTGTGTAGTTGGAAGTGAGGCCACTTCCCTAAGGTGGGTGGGCCCCATCCAATCAGCTGGAGGTCGGAATAGCACAAAAGCGCTTCCCCGAGTGAGACAGAACACGTCCTGCCCTGCCTGGCAGCCTACCGAGATAGGACACTGCTTGCTCTTCCATGCAGACTCGAACTGAAACATCAGCTCTTCCTGAGTCTTGAGTCTGGATTGGTCTTTGAACTGAAACTACTCCGTTGGTTTTCCTGGGTCTCTAGCCTTTGGATTTGGAGTAGTTCCATGCCATCGGCTCTCTAGCTTACCAATTCACCCTGCAGATCTCGGCACCTGCCAGGCTCCATAATTGCACGAGCCAACTCTTTACAATAAATCTCTTCTTCTCCCTTACATGGGTGTGTGTGTTTCCTATTGGTCTGTTTCTCTGGAGGACCCTGACTAACACAACCCTCTAGGCCCAGAGAGGTGACAAGTTACTCAACCTCATTAATTAAATCTGGACCTGCCACCAGCTTCAAATGCAGGGATCCTGTGTGATTTAGGATGGGCTATGCTCTAAGGTTTCACGCAAACATTCAGGGGCCTGGTTCAAGTCAAGGAAAGGATGTCCACCACCCGTGGAGCTCTCTAGGAAGCTGTGGAGTGAACAGATGAATAATTTAGGACAGAAATGATGAGGGCCTAGGGTCACTGTAGCCCATCTGCTGGCCCAAACAATGACTTCATGTGAATTAGAAAGACAAGCCTTCCTTATTGTCATCTGCTGGAAAGCTGTCACGAGACGTCTGCACACGGGTGACACCCACAACGTAGAGGGAATCCCCTGCAAAGCTGGGGCCCTGACTCCAGCTGGGCTGGCGCTGGTGGACCCAAGAGGAGCCCACTGAATTGACAAGACATCCACCAGAGCAGCTCTGGGCTTCAGCCTGGACCACCCCATGGGGTTCCAAGGAGCAGCAAAGGCAGAGTACACGTTGCAGCCACCTCCTGTGCCTCGCACTCCATGACACGTGCCCGGCGACATTCCCCGAGTTGTTCTTCCGGATGCTACGCTGCCCTCCTCCCAGTCTGTGAGCGCCTCGGGGCTGTGGGGCTGGAGGACCTGGGCTCAGAGGCTGAGGAGGCGCCCCTGGCATTCCCAGAGCTCAGCGTGTCTGAGTCTGACGGCCCGGCAGGTGTCGCTGTTGGCTCAGTCACCACCGGCTGGGCGGCTTTAGGGCTCCAGGGAGCAGCCCAGGAGCCCCGGGACCCAGGAGGGACGCTGGAGGTGGGGTAGGCACTAGTGTTCCCATCCAGGAACGCCTAGGGGCGGGCCCAGGACTCTGGGGGACCATTCCCTGCCTGTGGCTTGAGCATGACATTTTCCTGCCACCTGTCCTTCACTCCGGCCTCATACATCAGTCTCCCAGGAAATGGAAGGGCTGTCTGTGTGGGTGCTGCTGGTGGCACAGAGACGGAGGCACATCCCCCTCGCGCCGGAGGAAGTCTGGAAAATCCCTCAGTTCTGAGGAGCAGCCCCTCGTGTTTCCCTGGGGACTTTTCTATTTATATGCTGCTTAAAAAAAAAAGTCTCGGGCTCCAGGTTCGGGCACCGTGAGGGCCGCTGAGCCACGAAGCCGTCATTCAAGCCCGGCGTGACCAGTCGCGGCCTGGACACAGCGCCTGGAGGGTGGCGGGTGGCGGGTGAGGTGTCGTCTCCACGCCGGGCAGGGGCCGAGACTTGCGGGCTCCTCTCCTGCCAGGGCCTCGGGGATCTGCGTCCAGACACAAGCCCGCCTGTTCTTCGCTCAGAACACCCTTCTCGGGAAGTTCTGTGTGTGTTTTCGGACTCGTGTCTGAACAAGCCGGACTTTGTCCGGGACGCGGGAGCTCTCTGTGGGCTTGGCCTGCGCGTGCTTCTCCCCGGCCCGGCCCGGGAGACGGGAAGGCACGAAAGGGGGCCGGGGTGGGGACAGGGCGGGGGTGGGCAGAGAAGCTAATTTTATTTCTTCTCCTTTTTTTAAAGACAAACTTTGGGATAGAAATATCGCAATAAATATGCTCTTGTGTTTGTGTGTGTTTTCTCAGCTGTAAAGAAAACAGAGAGAAATTCCATCCTGTCCGGGTTCCAAGCGTCTCCAGGCTCACTGAGCCCTTTGTGCGAGGAGACTGGTTTGCCGCGGGCCGCTCGGCCCTGTCGGCAGGGAGGCCTTCTCCGTGGGAAGCAGAGTCAGGAGGTGACAAGGGCGCCCGAAGCTGGGGCGGGGATGGGGGCTGCACTGAAGGGGAGAGGAGTGTGGGAGCGGGCGGTGGACGTGGGGGGGCCGGGAGAGCCGGTGAGTCGGGCTGGTCGTCAGGGAGCTGCTCTCTCGGGAAGGATCGTTAGGAAGCCGGCCAGAGCTCCTCCGCGGAGCCGGGCTCGAGTGTGCGTGTGTGCGAGAGTGTGTGACTGTGTGCGAGAGTGTGTGTGACTGTGTGTGTGTGTGAGAATGTGTGTGAGCATGTGTGTGACTGTGTGAGAGTGTATGTGACTGTGTGCGAGAGTGTGTGTGAGCATGTGTGTGACTGTGTGAGAGTGTGTGTGAGTGTGTGAGTGTGTGTGTGTGTGAGAGTGTGTGTGTCTGTGTGAGCATGTGTGAGACTGTGTGTGAGTGTGTGTGAATGTGTGAGTGTGTGTGTCTGTGTGAGAGTGTGTGTATGAGTGTGTGTGTGTGTGAGTGTGTGTGTGAGTGTGTGTGTGTGAGAGTGTGTGTGTCTGTGTGAGCATGTGTGTGACTGTGTGAGAGTGTGTGTGAGTGTGTGTGAGTGTGTGTGTGAGAGTGTCTGTGTGAGCATGTGTGAGACTGTGTGTGAGTGTGTGTGAATGTGTATGAGCGTGTGTGTGAGTGTGTGTGAGCGTGTGTATGACAGTCTGTGTGGTAGTGTGTGTGAGCGTGTGTGTGGTAGTGTGTATGAGGGTGTGTCTGTGTGTGAGTGTGTGATGACAGTCTGTGTGAGAGTCTGTGAGCGTGTGTGTGTGTGTGGTAGTGTGTGTGTGTGAGCGTGTGTATGACAGTCTGTGTGGTAGTGTGTGTGAGCGTGTGTGTGGTAGTGTGTATGAGGGTGTGTCTGTGTGTGAGTGTGTGTGTGAGCGTGTGTGAGAGTCTGTGTGTGTGAGCGTGTGTGTGTGCATGCGCACACGTGTGCACCTGTGCCCCATGGTTGGAGACAGGGAAACCCTTGCCTCCTTGTCAGCTAGACTCCATCGCACAGTGTCTACCCTCCAGGGCCTTGGCCTTGATTCCATCGAATCACGGGACTGATCACCCGACTGACTTCCTCTCCAGCAATACCTGCAGTGGAGACCCTGTGACCTGGTCCTGGCTGGCCACCTACTGCTAGTGACACCGGACCTGCTCCATGGCTGTCTCGAAGACTGAGAGATGATGGGGCAGTCTGGTGCCCCTGCAGGCCAGGCACCGTGACGTGGCTCTGCACCCAGCGCGGCGCTGGCACTCAGCGGGCATCCATCAGCGCGGCTTCCTCCACCTCCCTGCGTGCCCAGCCGGAGTGAGCCTCTCCGAGTGCGGGGACCGGAAGCGTTTAGCGGTTGCAGGGAGGCTTCCTGTCCCGCCACAAGGGTTGGACTTAATGACTTTCCATAAAGAATAAAACTGCTTTTGTTTGAAAATAACATCACTACACTACCAAACATTTGGAAAATGGGAAAATAGAGGAAAAAATCACCATCATTCACAACCCTGATGCAATCATTGCTGGTGTTTTGATAGTCTTCCTTCTAGTCGTTTTCCTTAGGTATCTACTTCCGTGCAATCGTTACCTTTTTGCGTCCTCTTTGCCTTTTCCCTATAACGCAGTGGGCCAAGTGACATTTTTTGTCCCTTTGGAACTGATGATCACGGTGCTTTAGTCGTGGCCTCCCTGCAGGGAGCCTGTCTGCGGAGCCTGGGCAGGTGGTCCTCAGCTCTGATGGATGGCAGGTGCTCACTCCTTCACTGGGTGGCCCACTCCACGGCTGGACAGATCTAATTGTCCTCGAGATCTTCCAAGATGGGGCCAGATGGCCCACCCCCATCATAATTCCCATCCATCAGCACCACCAGCAGCAGGGGCCGCACAAAACTTGTCCTCTCCTCCTTTAGGGACCTCCCGATGGATCTTCAGGGGTCCAATCTGCTCTCCTGCCTGCTGCTCTTCCATGAAGACGTTTCCTGGTCCCTTCACCCAACCCTCCTTCCTCATGTGGCTTCTGGACCTCCCTTTCCTCCTGGGAGCCA